ACAGGAACAGACAGAGAGAGAGAGAGAGAGAGAGAGAGAGAGAGAGAGAGAGAGAGAGAGACCTGAACCCTGAGGCAGCGACGCAAGTGGCGCGAAATTGGCTGGCTATGATGATATAATGAGAATCGACAATGGCATGAGGTGTTTGATCTGGGGTGGACGAGTTGGCTTTTGGGGGTTTTTTCATTAATGAGGACGCCATGAAGTAGATGATGTGGACTGTCGTTTGATTCTGTGCTGTGGGGAAAAGATCTGATTGATCATTGTCCACAAAATTCACAGCGATTTTTCTTCCTTATAAGTTGTTCTTAGCCTTTCTCCCCTGATCTGTTCAAATCTATAATAATATGCTCAATAATTAACAGGAAGGTAGAAAAAATGTGTTGCCTTGCTGGTCTCCAAAAGATGTTTTGCATTCATCAAACATGGAAGAAACAATGTGACATACACAGTCTATCAATTTAACACTGAAAACCTTACGTAACGCGTACAGGCTGATATTTTAAGCTTAATTTTGTTTCTGTTATACTTAGCATTTGAATTGTTGCCGTCATTTGTGTGCGCCTTGGTTCCGTTCGTTTTATTTTGTATTGTTTGCTTGTGTTGTTTATTGGTTGATGGGGTTGTTTTGTTTTTGTTTGTTTTTTGTTGTTGTTATTGCTTTTTATAGTGTGTGTGTTTTTGTGTGTGTGTGTGTTGTTGGTTGTTTTTTGTTGTTGTTTTTTTTTGTTGTTGTTGTTGTTTTTTTGGGGGGGCGGGGGTTCATTTCGAAAAGTGAGATGAGGGGTCATTCTTTCTCAAATTAGGTAATAGAATTGCGTAGGAAGACCGGGGAAAACCACAACTGTGTTACATGTATCTGTTGATCTAATCAACATCATAGTTACTTTTTGGAGTTGGGTGTTTTAAAACAAAGCATTTCGAAGACAGGTCTGTGAAAGGCAACTTTTGTTTTGTTTTAGTAAGGGTTTTACGGCGCTCACAACTGCATAAAGTCATATGAGCGCTCGAAGGGCAATTTTAAATGATATAAAGTAACTGTTTTACTTCACCCACATTTTCTCTGTGTCTTGCTTTTTCCTGTACCGAAACAGTTGTAGTTATTGGATTGTTTTTTTCCTATGTTCAAAACATATTGGTGTGTGAGTGTGTGTGTGTGTGTGTGTGTGTGTGTGTGTGTGTGTGTGTGTGT